CAAGAATTGAAAAATAAAGAAGACAACGAAACAGTAAATAAAATGGATGACCTTATTCAAGCCCTAGCAGAACTTACCGGTGCCATGAACATTGGATTGACCCGACGACCAGAAAAGATCCTCATTCCGATTAAGAAGTTCCGAGGCGAAAACCAAGATCCAGTCGAGTGGCTCCAAGATTTCGAAATTGCCGCCCGAGCTAATGGAATCACCGACGAAAGAAAAATCCAAATCGTAAGAGGATACCTTGAAGGAACCGCTGCCACCTGGTTCGACCAGAGAAACACTGACATCAACCTTCGATTAAATGATTGGATAAACCAACAAAATAACGAACATGACTTCAAACATCGATTTACCTTAAAGTTCCGAACGAACAGGAAGGTGGAACAATGGCAAGAAGAACTGGAGACCCTAAAACAAAACGGAACCGTAGAAGAATATACCAACCAGTTCGTCCAACTTATGAAGAAAGTCGATCCTGACGGTCATTACCCAGCGGACTACAAGACACGTACCTACAAAAGAGGACTCAAGCCAGATATTAGAAAGTGGGTTCATATAAATTCAGACGGAACGTGGGATAATATCATCGAAGTGGCCAAGACTGTCGAAGAGGCTGGTACCGACGGACCAACGAAAACCTTCCATCAGAATCAGACAATGCCCACCGTCGACCTTAATATTCTAAACCAGACTCTCCAGAGTCTAACCAACAGGTTGGAACAAGTAGAAATCGCAAGAAGAACAAACTACCCACCACGAACGTATGATCGGAGTCGTAATCAACAGAATTATGGAAACCGAATGACTTGCTACCGATGTGGCCAGACCGGTCATATACAACGGTACTGTACGAACCCTCTTAATGATGGCAATCAACGGATGAATAGTCAACCAAACCGACAGCCAACTTATAATATAAACCCGACCTTTGAGAGCAATGATTCCTTTACACCAAACAAGACGATCCCAAGTCTAGCCCCAGCCACAAATAATAACAATTTGACCAATACTAATACACTACTCTCACAGATCCAAACGCTTACGATCGCTTTACAGGCAACTCAAACACCTCAAATTAATGTTCCCGATGCGTCGACATCATTACTCTTGGCAACGCACGAATATATGGTAGGAGAACGCAAACGAGCAAGAATGGAATGAAAGGAAGACGCCCAAAACAATATGGATCAAACTATCGAGCGGAATGACGAACCTATAGTCGACCAAAACCCAGTGGTAAATAAACTCAAAGATAAAAAGAAGAAAAAGAAAACCAAAGTTGAACTACCTGTGTTAGCTTCACGCGCCGTTCCTTACGACATTCTTGACGACCTCACCACCACCAAGGCCAACATCACGATCGCCCAACTCATCAAGACCTCTCCAGAACAACAGATAAAGATGTCGAAGGAGATGAGACGACCTATCAGAAAGAAGACTACAAGAAGAACTACGGGAATGGTTAGCCATACAAAAAAACCATCTCGGCATGGTGCGAAGCAAAAATCGAAACTATACCTATTGACCTCATTGTAGACACCGAAGCTTCAGGATGTGTATTCAGCCACAATTTCCTAAAGAAGCACGACATTAAAATCCAACAAAAATCATGCATTACCATGACTGACATTAACGGACTGTCAAAGCAACCTCTCGAAGCAATCGACGACTTCCCAATCACGGTCGATGGAATCATAATTCTGGCAGAAGTCGACGTAACTGAGGCAAGAACATTCAGCGTGTTGGTTGGCATGGATTGGTTAAAAAAGGTAAACGCCAACATCGACATTAAGAAGGGAATAATGACATTGGAGTGGGACGGACAAAAAGCGAAAATTGCCGTCAAATACATACATGGTCAAAAGAATCCAGTCATTATCGAATCTGATACTACTGACTCCGAGCTCTCCGATGATGAGTCATCCGAAAGCGAATACGAAATCGAAGAACAACAGCTAGAAGATCGTAATTTTCTATGCTGGCGTTCCGACGACCTTTGGACTGAAGTTCTAACGCCCAATCGAACGATTGATGAAGTTGATTTCAGAAAAATACCACGCCACATAATCCAGGAGGTACCAAAATATAAAAATGTACAGATATACAAAGAGGGAATTCAAATAAGAAACAATATAATTACCTGGGATGAATATACCCGTCTCCAGGCGAAGTTCAACCAAAATTGTTATTTCAATTCTCGGTGGAGATTCGACTGGAAAGGACCAGCCGAGTGTTGGTGTCACCAAAAGCTCACGAATACAAGGGAAGAATGTCGAAAGTGTTACCAGGAACTGGTCGTCTGGATCAACGTAAAGCTTCGGACTCCCGATAAACTTTCCACAATAATCGAAGAAGGCTCATCCAAGGATTGGTGGATAGAAACAGAGTATCAACGACTCTCCGATAGTATCATCCCCACCAAAACTAAATTCCAAACCCAAGAGGCCGCTCTCGCCTACCTACAATATAAAAGACGAATCACTCGGTGTTATGGTTGTAACTACTATGTCGATGAGTTAATGACAGGGATGGTGTTCGAACAAAACGAATCCAAGAACTTATATTGCGAGGATTGCATTCAAAAAGGAAAGCTCAACTTACCTATCTGCGCTCAGTGTGAATCTCGTGCTCCCGCAGCTAAAATGTATGGTATTGGTGGATATTGTCCGACGAGATATTTTTGCTCTTATCTGGAGCAATGTGTCTACGCATTCGATCACGACGGCTGGAGAAAGAATAGTGGCACGATTCGAAAACTACACGAAGAAGAAAACTTACTCACTGTGTACCATGAGTGTAATGAAATTGGAAAAGCGATTCTATCTCGCTACATCACTGAATACGATGTAGAAAGTGAAATGCAATATATTGGCTACGACGGATCCGAAGAAGCCTCCGCGGCTGAAATCTTCACATTGATCTACCAACAACTGTCTCCAACACGATGTCTGCAATTGGCCTGATTAGAATACATCAATGTTAGACTATGTTCCGGTTATCTGATTCCATGTGGCTCTGAACAGTGCGACGACTGCAGACGAATGTCGGAACCAGTCGAGAGAATCGACAAGAGAAAGGTCAAGTTTAATTTAATGCGTCAGGAAAACAAAAATAAAAACGAAACCAAAGTCGATGACACCCAAGGAGTAGATGAAACCCAATTGCGAGGCCACAAAATCAGGGACATCTTCCACTCAGGTGGTCAATCGACCAGTAAAGGTGCTGGCGAAAGAAATAGCACCAAAGCCCATCAAGAACAAACTAACAATACAAGAAATGTTAATTACCTCATCAAAGTATACGATAACGAAGGAAAAGGAAAGTTGCCCGGACGAGCACATACCACAGATGCCAGTTTCGATTTATGATATCCGAACAAACAAGTCATTCGCATCAATCCGAGCCAAACTATCCTAATCAATCTTCACGTTGCCTTCGAGATCCCACCCGGTACTGTCTGTCAACTGATGTCCCGATCCTCTTTGGCAAAGCAAGAAATTGAGGTAAAGGGCAGAATGATCAATGCCGGATACACGGAAAACATCAGAGTACTACTATACAACAACTTGACTCAGCCCTACGACATCCAACCCAACGAACGAATAGCCCAAGCAGTGTTCTTAAAGTTAGTCGAGATCACTGAAATACGAGTCATTCTGACAAGAAAGGAGTTGGGAGAATCAAGTCGAGGAAGCACTGGTTTCAGATCCACAGGCCGCAGTGAAATGGAAGCGTACTTCCTAGATAAAAATCAAAAAAAGGAGACGATTGAACAAAGAAAATTAACTTCACAACAAACCAACCAACTCAACAAACTCTTAGATACATATCGAGGGATTTTCGCCGCTGACATGACCGAGCTAGGATGAATGAACCTAGTGCGACACCAGATCGATACTGGTAATGAAAGACCGATCCGACAAAGAGCTTATCGAGTCACTTTACTGGACCAAGAATTCATCCACGACGAAGTGCAAAGAATGTTGAATGCCAGAATCGTACAATGATCCAACAGTCCCTGGGCTTCGCCTGTAGTTATCGTCAATAAAAAGGATGGAAAGAAACAGTTTTGCATTGATTATTGAAAAATTAATAACATTACCAAAAAGAACACGTATCCCTTACCCAGGATCGATGAAATGTTAGACAATCTGGGCCACGCTAAATGATACTCTTCACTAGATCTCATCAGCGGGTATTGGCAAGTCGGTATGGACGAATGAAGCATCGAAAAAACTGCCTTCATCTCCAGGGAGAATCTCTACGAGTTTACTGTGATGCCGTTTGGACTCTGTAACGCTCCTGCGACCTTTCAACGAGCAATGGACGCAATGCTAGGTGATTATAACTGGAAATTTACGATGGTCTATATCGACGATATAAATATATATTCTGAAAATTTCAAGAATCACCTGCAACACTTGGAGAAAACATTTCAACGAATTAGAACAGCTGAACTCTGATTGAATTTAAAGAAATGCAATTTTGTCAGAAAAAGCCTACCATTCCTGGGTCACATCATCACCGAAGAAG